TGCATACAAGTTAATCATCTCCGGCGAGCGATACGAAAGGGTCGTGTACCTGTGAGATACCACAACAGGACGTAGTCAATGGCAGGTCAATGATCAAATGAGTATGTTTACTCAATTACTGTACTTAAACACAGTGTTTCCAGGTACTTCTCATTTTGTTTTTGCCACTGCAAGGCTGAAACAAGTTTTAAACATGACAGATCATAAAAATCACTGCGAGAGAAGTAAGGGTTAACCAAAACAGAAAGGTTGCGTGCCGAATGACTAAACAATGAGCTGAAACTAACTACAAAGATGCAGATTCAGTGATCACTAAGAGCAACAACCTTCACATTCTCACATTCATTTCATGTTGCATTTGATACATTATTTTAAAATATCAATATTAATTTGAATCCAATAATACCATATAGATAATATAAACAATATATTTGTAATAGTTCAAGTATATTTTACTGCTACTTGTGTAGTTCTGCTACAGCAGGCCTTTTACGTATAATGGAGAATTTTTACAGGTCGGTATTTGTATTTTTATTAAGTAAAGGTTCAGAATATTTCTTTCAATACTGTCAAGCACACTTCTCTTTGACTGACACGTGTACATCTGTTAACTGATGCACAGGACAAACAAAACAAATCAAAAAAAATAATAATAATTTGCCAGCAAAGGCTGCCTAATTCACCTGTCAGGGTAAGAGAGAGCTAAACATTTTATTTTGTTTTCTATTCAATAATGTGGATAACAATCAGAGCAGCTGGTTGTGTTTGGAATAAATCCAGCTGTGAAATGAAAATGCAAAGACTGTCAGAATCACCACATTGTAGAGGACTGATGGTTTCTGTATGACCTGTGTCACAAAGAAGGACAGTTTACTACAGTCATATACAGCCAATAATCACACATCACACTTTATTGCAGCCATAAATGTGAGAAAAGTCAACAGGACAGATCTGAAGGGACTGCTGTGATTTGACACGACACAAATAGAATGCATAGACTAACACTGCAAAAGTACAGTGGTTGTGGCCATAGGAGCAACACATTTACCACCTCCTAACATACCATCATCGGCAACGAAACAACAATGTGATTGTTTGCAGTAGCATGTGTATTTTTGGTTTACTTGCATAGAGAATGAGAGTGTATGCTAGCACAGTATTATGTTTGGAGAATAGAGCTATTTTGACGTGCTTCCAGTGTGACTTACATGCTCACTTATTTGCTTTGTGGGTGCAAATAAACACACCTGGAAATGTAGCAGGTTTACAGCAATCCGGCCATACGGCAAATATGGTTTAGATAGGAGTGCTATGACGGCCTAACAGTGGTATGAGTTAAGTGGGAATACAGCAGGCTCATCATAAGACTACCCCTGATAAGACACAGGTAACTTTCCCCTCAAATAAACCTACCAGTTAGTTTATGGTCATTTTTGTCCCTTTTGTAAGTTCCTGCTTCCATTTATACTACATTTGAAGATGATGATAAAGATCAGACAGATTAGACCAATTAGATTTAGATTCTAGAGAGTTGTCAGGTTGTTCTTTGTAATTTTCTCTTGTGTGACAGTGTGATGTTTGCATTGATATTAGACAGAAATGGCCACAAAATCTGCTGAGTGCTTATTTTTCTACTTTTGAAAGTACTGAATCAAAATAATTAGCATATAAACATTAAAACTCCTAAAACATTAATGACAATACAGAATGTTTCTATTGCACAATCCCTATTATAGCAATCTTAATCTTAAAATTAGTTAATTAAACTAATTCAAAACTAGTTTAACCAGTCAGTGAGTGATATTTCATAGGGCAAAGTCTTCCTTGATCCTGTGCCATCATTAAGTACTTTCTCAGTAGCAGGGTTTTTTGGGGAGGAAATAAAACTGAACCTATACATGTTCCTGCAGGGAAATGCAGGCTGCGGAGTTTTTAGAAACATTCTTGGGTTTTTCCTAACGTTCCTGTGGTGCAAAAGGCCCGTTGTATGCTGGTATTTTCTTAAATGATTTTACATGACAGTGTCAACTTTACATGACACTCTGACAAGGAAAACAATACTGTTCCAGCATCCAGAACATAGAAGTGACAGGTATATATTATGGTTTTACCAACTGTTGTATTGAGTGACATGCAGAACATGGCTTTCAATGAGGAAAAAAACATACTTCTTAATCTCGTCCTCCACAGCAGTCACTCCGTCTTTTTGTGGCAGCAAAACCTTGTGAGTGGCACTGCCGAAGTCACACAGCACATAATTTCCCTGGTCGTTTAGCAGGATGTTTTCAACCTAAAAGAAAGAAAAGAAAGAAAGGTTGAAGACTTTTAATGGAAAAGACAAGAGAAGGAAAACATAGCTAAAACACTGCAAAGGCACTAACTCAACAACATACACTATGCAGTGACAGATGCAGGTGAATGTAACCTTGTCTTGACTGGCTGATGTGAACACCAATAACAGAGCTGAGAGTCACTGTGTGTGTGCAAAGAAAAAAAAATACTGGGGTTTTAGGGGAGTGGGTTCTAAAAACCAAAATAAAAACATGTTAGTTAATCAGTATGCATCTTTAATGTGAATCCTCAAAAAGTTACAACAGAAACTGTATCTATTAAAACATAAGAGGACATTTCAGTTATAACACACTGCCTGCAGGTGGCAGAAGCTGGAACTTTCTTTGCCTATAGGTGGCACAAACAACATGTCAACAATATCTGCAGGTTTAAACTGCTACTGCTATTTATTTGTTTTGTTAGTATACTGGTTTAAAAATGAGCAAACAGCTCCTTTCCAATGTGCAAGCTACAGCCTGTATAATCTAGCTAAAGCTAGACTGTGGTCGTGATTGAGACGCATCATTCCATCAAAATCACATCAGCTGTGACTCTGAAATAACTGTGGCAGACAGATAAAAAAGCAACCAACCGAATCTCATCTCTAATTACATCGTAATGGGCAAGGATGACAATTAGTGGATAAAGTCGCTTGTAAAAACTCACAAATCCCACACCCACACACAAAACTGATTTAATACACAGTGATGGAGTAATGAGACAAGCCCTCATTACAGTAATTCTGCCACAGGAGTCTTGTTATAGTTTGTTTACTGGTAGACAAACATGTTAGTCTGAAAAATAGATATTTTTTTCACATCTTTATGTTATATGTGTTTCCATTTTGAGTTTCAAGCCTCAGTTTTTAAATAATACTTTTATTTTAGGGCCAAAGAGAGATTACAAACCTAACAGAAAGTAACAAAGGCAGGTGGAGAAAAGACTGGAAACAAGTAGCAACAGGGAAAGTGCAACACAGGCATAAGATGTAAAATGTGAAAAGTGAACATCTGAAAATAGAAAGCCAGTAAGGCATTTGTAGGAGCTGTGACACAGAAGAGGGGAGACCAAAAGGACGACCAAGAGAAAACAATTTCAAACTGTCCAAGGGAAAACTGAGCTAATGAAAGCAACACAGAGTGTCTCAATACTGTTGACAGCTCAGGGTTAAGGGGCTTTTTTTGCACTCTCACTTCCCCTGGCAATGCGTGACTGGCCCTCCATGGTCTTTTGTGTCCCTGCGATGTTATGTAAGCCATGTAGGCTGAACAGATAGATGCAGACAGCAAACAGAGGACAGGCCTGTGGAGCTGAAGGGACCGCGCTGTTTAGAGGCTTGTCCAACTGGACAGAGTACAGCGGCCCACTGACGGGGCACTGAGGAGAATTTAACCAGGGTGGGAAATAACAGCCGGCCTCAAAGCATCAGCAAGAAGAGGGTAAATCTGGCTCGTTGCCACGCTTGATTTGAAAATCTATTCTAAAAATTAAGTTGGTGAGGAATTTCAAGATGTACCAGCTACTGTGGCTTGTACAAAGAGTATGTTTGGTGGAAGAGAAAGAGGAAAAGGAGGTGGATGAGTAACTAACAGGACGAAGAGGAGGCAGAGGAAATAAGAACAAGCTAGCAAAGGAAGTGGGGGAGCGTAAAAGGAAGCAGAGGAGTTAGAACAAGCAGTGAAGTGAAACTAAGGCGTTCTTTCTTCTGCTGACCAAGCAGATTTACGTCACTTAAGTTTATAAACATCATCTGACATTAAATTTAATAAATAACTGTTCAAGCAGCCATCCACAAGTGCCTCCTTTTGATATTGTTGACATCTCGCTTTTGTGCAGAGCACTAAGCTTCAAATTTTTCAAACAGCGCTGGTTTTTCTGATGAGTTTTTGGTTTTTGTTGAGGAAGTTTGTAGGTCAAACTCTTTCCTTTAAGTACTCATAGTAACTGCCCAGTTATTCTTTTACTGATTCTGTTGCTGCTTCCAGGAATATTATTTCTTCCTTTTTTAAGACTTTTTAGACTCAGTGGGTTTTAAGTACAGTGAGAGTAGGAATTACCCAAATAGCTCAACCAGAATTAACATGTACAACCTATTAATATTGTGCTGCATGGTTAGTTTTTGGCCAGAGGAACTCCAGCAGGTTGGGTTATAGTGGATTAAGACGATTGCGGATCTCACCTTGAGGTCTCTGTGGATGATGGGTGTCTTGCATTGGTGCAGACGAGCCACAGCCTCGCAGGCATCACAGAAAATGTGGAGGACCTCAGCCTCAGTGAAGCCCACATTCAACCGCTGGTTCATCTGCTTCACAACCTGACCCGCTGCAGGACAGAGGTGGAAAGACAGCTTTAGATCATAACACACAGGTCAGGCTGGGAAACCAAAAACAATGTTTGGTGTTTCGGCCGTTGCAAACTTTATTGCAAACTATATTTACCAACTGGGATAGTTTTCAGTTGTCCTGTATAAGTATACTTACATTTACACCCTGAAGCTGAACTTGACTGATCAAAACCTAATATTAACATGATAGCAATTGGTACCAAAATGATCTAAATAGATGTTTTGCTATTATTAATAATACAAGTCAGCTAAGGTCATATTTTGTGCTATAACAATAAACCACTAACATTTAAAATGTTTGAGTACATCACAGTATCCTCTGCTTTTAGTCCAACAGTCAGCATAATGTTTTACAGCCAATAAAATGTGTGCCAGAAAATTTAGGCAAAATGCTATGGCAATATCAGGTCAGGATCAACGTTTCAATCCATTTCTAAGTAAACAAAATATGTCACCATGTAAAGGCTTCACCTAACTATCTGATTATTCTCAGTAACCAGACTAAAGTTTAGATGTAAACTTGTCCAATGAGGGCAAAACTGCTCAAAATAGCCCTAAAAAGCCAAGCTGAGTCAGTGAGCTACCACGATCAATAGCATGAGTACATAACATGGTGGCCATGTCATTGTTTCAGAACAGAAGGGATGTACCTTTACAGTACTCCATGAGGATCAGGACCTCCCAGACACTGTCCGACACTGCATTGATTGTGGAGTCCAGGTAGCCGACAATGTTTTTATGGCCCGACAGCTCCTTCTACATATGGGATGAAAACACGGAAATGGTCACAGAAAGACACAAATATTCACAAGTATTATGTAAGAAAAAATAAGATTGTATTATGTATGGAAGATGTCCATAACATCTTCATATCCAGAATTTAATATTTAAGGACATTACTCCTACTAAACAAACAAAATATACAAGGTAGCTATTTAGGCAATTAGAAAGGATATATTTGGATTATGTACACAGTTTTGCCCTTTTCAGTGAATGCTGCTTAGTATTCATGTTTGGACTTGTGTAGTGTTTCTGGTATATTTGTGGCAGAAGCATGCTGCTACTCAATGTACAATTTAAAATCAAGCATGAAAATCTGCAGTCTGGAATAATGCTGCTGTTTCTTTGTGGCACTGCAACAATGACAAGACTGTAGACTGCATTAAAGGGGGCAGACAAGTCAATCATGTTAGAAAAGTTACAGACAAACTAGTTACATAGCCAAGAGTTGCAGATTTGTTTAGGGCAAAAAAAACGTATACCTCATAAAACATGCGAGTCCCTATGATGTGTTTACCTCCTGGTTTTACTATGTATGAGGAAAACCACATGCAAATTTGCAAAAGATAACAGTCCAGTTCATCTTTGCAATCAAGCTACTGTGTGTGGCAACAATGCTTTTTGTATTCTTTAGTGTTCTTACGCCATGCTGATTTCCTAACTCCACTAATCTTTCTCTACTTGATTCATTCGCTGGCTTAAAGCATCAGTGTTTGTGTTTGTTGGTTGTTAGACGCCAGTGTGAGAAGAGAGACTGCTGTGTGTTGTGGAAACCGACACACCTAAGGCAACGTCCCAACAGGCCAGGACTGTGTCAATGTTAAGGTCAACTGTGTGTGGGTCTGTGTGGGTGAGTATTACACAGCGGATGAGGCAGTGAACAGACACACAAAGCCGGCCAAACAGCTCAGAGTGAGCTGTTCACTGACACACTGGGGTCAAACGTTCAAGATGAGACATCTGCTGCTGTCCAAGTTGTACATGTCTGCTATATAACTAAATAAATGAGAATATGTAACTTTGAATAACATTAAACACCTTGAATTGTTTTCTGTAATCATGTGAGAGCTAGCTGTGTGATAGATCAAACGTATCTCTCAATGGACCAGGTGCATTTATACAATGTCACCAAGCACACAGCCAAAAGCCCTTTGCTCTTGCCAGACTGGAAATGCTAGAAAAGAAGATGAGTTATGAAGATGGAATGAAGCCATTTATATGCACCTTGGTGCATATAAATGAGGGCTTGTGTCCCATTTGAAACAGGATTATGTGCTCGAATTAAATACCTGAAAACTAAGAATGCCCGTCAGATAATGAACAGTGTCTTCAAGTGCAAATTAAGCCCTCCAAGCACAAAAAGTGAGAGAAATCGGTTTTCCAGACAGAGAAGCATTGGAGGGAAATGCAGCAGAATCAGCAAAATGATGACTTAATACTTATTTTCAACTGATAAGCAGTGTTTAGTTCCCAACTCATGCAAATTTCCTTTTCAGTTAAATGGTTCTAATCAGGGGCGCCTGGTTAGCTCAGTGGGTAGAGCTGGCGACCCATGTACCGAGGCTGAGTACTTGCTGCAGCGGCCCAGGGTTCGAATTCTGAACCTGCCGGCCTTTCTTTGGCTGGCATGTCAACCCCCTCTTCTTTCTGCCCCCCTTTTCCCTGTCTGTTCTTTTTTCCCAGCTGTCAACTAATATAAAGGATAAAAAGCGCCCAAAAAATATACTTCTTCTAATCAAACATAACTACAACCTACAGCGGCATAATTAAGCACAGGTAATAACTTAATTAAATCTTACTTTCCTATTCCATGACCAATATTTATGAAGCTAATGTACAATAAATGAAAATATTTAATATAAAGCTCTTGCAATTAGACAAACAGGACGACTTCAGTTGATTTGAGAGATAACGTCTCTAACACTGATGCTGCTCTCACCATGATAGTGATCTCTCTCTTGTAGACATTTAGGTCCGGGACGTTGTTGACGTACATCCTTTTAAGAGCACAGCGGACGCCACTGTGCGTTCGAGCCAGAAATACCACTGAGAAGCCTCCTGGAAAAACAAAACATGACAAGTTAGCAATATGTCTTTTATATGTCTTTTTCACACATGAAATGTATTCTATGGGGTGATGGGTTATCAGGGTTCACACAGAGGCATACTATGTAGAAATACTGCTCAGTGAGCATAACGGATAAATTAGGCAATACTTAATAATAAGACTTGATTCTCCCTTGTATGAAAAATCATTTGTTGATGTTCTTACATGATAGACAAAGACAGCTTAAAGTCAACGCCTGTGTCACAATCGAACATTACAATTACATGTTTAATCCAATCGTCCATTGCAAACTCCTTTTTTCCCTGAACACCTTATATCTGATTTAGATGTCCAAGTTCTGCTATACTGCCCATGAACAGACATTTTATGCATTCAGCGGTCCTGTTATGCTGTTCAGTGGACAACAGTGGAGGACTGTGGGCGCTGCCAGGCGTGAATGTGGAACATACAGGAGTGCAAAATATGGCAGTGCTGAAAAAGAAATCAAACATACTCAGCTTATCTTAAAAGTCAATACAGAAAAATGTGTGTAATCAAGGATTTATTAAAAGGTCTCCAAAAGTTGATATTTTAACAGCAGCTAACCGATTATTTTATGAGCAAGTAGGCTAAGCTTATTTAGCTTGCATTGGCCTGACTCCCGCTGGCTGTAATCCTGGAGTAAATGAAGCTTTATAAAATATAGCATTTTTTGTGGGAAGTGGGGTTTCTGGTTTGGGAGTAGACTGTGTTGACAGGGAGAAGGTGTTTAGCTGTAGTGCCAGTAGCTGTTGTCACTGTGCTGTGTGCCTCTCTGGGTGAATGACACCAACACTGTGATGGGACAGTCCCTGGTCTCATTAGGAGGGGTTCACTGAGTCACTGAGTGGTGGGCATCAAAGTCCACCGACCGAGAAAGAGAAAAAGGACCAACAATGGTGTACTTGTTGCCTAACAAGTTACCTTAGGTCAGCTGAAAAACAGCATGGATTTGGTTTGAGAATGAGCAGAAGGGGAGGGGAGTTGAAGTGACCAGTGGGCACAAAGGCCTTCATTGAAGAGTCCATCAACACTATGTTTAAACAGATCTCCGCCTGTTGTGAAGACAAAAACCCCAAGTACAAATAATTCATGCAGGTTAAACCTGTGTGTCACCATGAAGACAGTAAACAGAAGATCGCAGACAGTCAGGCAAAGCAAACCTAAACAAACTGAAGTGTAGTGTTTGCTTATATGTAGACAAAACAGAGTTACTGTAGCAGACATTATGAGATTAGAAGGGGTGACTGATGCCATTCTGCAGCACAGAGGAATGAACAGGCAGCTAATGAGACAAAAGATAACTTTCTATAGCAGAGCTGAGGCTGACCATAATGGGAGGGAGAGCGTTCAACAGTGTGGATGAGAAACTATTAGAAACAATCAGCAAAGTGATGGTACGTTTTTGACAGACTGGACTGGACAAGTCTATTCTGTCTCATCTATTTTTGCTTTATTTCAAAAACATCCTTGGATCAGTGGCATTGAAATCACCAGGATCTTCGACTAGCACGTCTTCTGCTGTCAGCCACAAGGTCAGGCTTCGCTGCATATAGACAAACGATTAAAAACTGGAACAAAGACAAGAAAATATACAACCTGCTGACAAGACAACAAAACAAGCAGCATATAAACATTATGCTGATGCTTGGGTAACATACACAGAATGATATCAAAATCCTGTTGCAAATGAAACAAAATACCACAACAGAAATGTATCAGGGACTAATAACTTAAAATATCTGTAATGCAGGGCAAAAAGAATCGGAATTATAATTAAAATAACATAAATGAATAGAACAAATGATGTTATTTGCTGCATGTATGAATGGCCCCAGCAGTTTTATCTGCAGACCTGTAACCATCTCCAAAAAGATCAAACTAAGACAGAAACACTGCTAAGACAAAGTACAACAGCCAAAGCTGTTTACGCCCGCTGGATACGGTTCATCGATTTGCCATGCTCTGCTCTGTGTGCTAAGGTTAGCTTGATGGTCACTCCAAACTATGTGGCGAGCTTGAATTGATTTCCTGTAACGAGACAGTCGAGTGCAGAGCCATCCGGAGACTTGGGGGAGTGGGAGTGAACTTTTAAACAGAAAACTGAATCATATGACATACTCCAGAGAGAGCTACTTTGGATGCATTCATTTATGAAAACTTTGTGCAAGCTGAAACCAAATCATGTGTGATGCAGAGTCGGCTTTATGACCCTGTTGTATAAGAAAAAGCTACCTGTGAGTCATCTTGTGCAAATCTTAAGCTTTATGGACTGCTTTGACAAAAAGGATGTAGGATGCAGACATAGTAAAGATCAAACTTGAGGCAAGAATGGAGGGAAGAAGATGTGGGGGTTGTATGGGCACGAAGAGAGATTTTACAAGGCAAAATCCATTTGCTCAGGCAAAGGGCCAAGAGGCTGAAAAGAGCAGGCTGTTTAAGATAATGGACAAGATACAAAAGAGCAGCTAACCTTCACTCAAAAACTGAAAACTGAACAAACTACACTACCCATCCTAACAATCAACTCCTGCTCACACTGAGTTGTGTCTGAGCAGACATGTTTTAAAAGTTGTCACTTTGACTGAGAGGTGCACAAACACACACAAACACAAAGGTGTACTGATTACAGGAAATATTCAAGTGAGAGAAAGAACCACGGCTGGAGCAAATAATCTGCTCATCTCTTTTCTTGGACCCATCTCTAAGGCGCTCCAACTAAAAGCATCTTATTTTTGTAAACAATACACTACAAAACAAAGGCGTAAAGGTCTGGGACAGCTCACAACAAGGTCACATCCTTACATTGAATTCTTTAAAATCTTTTGTGAGATTCCCTGACACCAGCTGTTACCTCTCTGTCATTAGAAACCAACTATTTCACCGATCTTGGCAGCCGGTGGAGGGGAGGTGGCTTTTGGAAAGTTAAGAGAAGATAGAGGGCTCCGCTCAGGCCATCCTACCAAACAGCTCATGTCTGCCTGCTGGCCTGCTCTGGGACTGTCCGGGGCCATATGCTCCAGGATCAGGTTCTCACTAAATCACCACCCGGGGGCTTTTGTTGCCTGCCATGACTATGCCAGCCACGGAAGTGGTACGCTATTGAGTGTATTATTCTCCTGAGTGGCTCTGGATGGAATGATTTGTTTCAGAGGGGCTTTGTGCCCAGCATACCAACTTCCTGGACAAATAAGGGACCCCTAAACAACACAAAAGGTCCCTCACTGTACAGAAGACTGGCTTCAACCAATGCCATCAACAGAGCTGTCTGTAACCAACATACAGTCAACAATAAATCTTGTAACGGTAGAAAGCTTTTGCTAGCCAAGAGCAATGGCGTCGGAACATTACAGATATAGTAAGGCATTCTAAGTATTCAAGTAATTCATTCTACCGCATTCAGTGTTCATTTCAGCGTTAAACTTGTGTATGTCATGACACTGTTCTGGCCGATGCCTATGATGGTGCGGGCTAGCAACTACTGCATTATGGTCAACTTCTGCCACCAGTTAGACTCATCCTACAAGATAGGTCATCGCTGTTTAAAAATGATTTAGACTAAACTTGAGCCCCAACCCTAGCCAAGAGGATCTAGCAAATTTTAAAACAAGGCCTAAAAAATTTCCATATTTCATGAATCATCTGCCTTATCATGTCCTCACATCTCTTAAATATCATTTAACTCAGTAAGGCACACCGATTTTAGACTGACACATCTGTTTTGTTGACAGATGTCTATGGAAATCAAAAGATGATTTGCTCCACGTTAGACTGACTCATGAAACACACAGCAAGGTTCTGGTGAACAGAAGTGGAACTGAAATCTTTTAATGTATTAAAGCACTGCTGATGGGCATGTCTAACGCTGTTACTTATTGCCAATTATTCACATCTTACTGTTCTTGTACTTCCCCTCCTGCTCAACTGTTAGCTGGCTGCACTGTGGAGAGGGGATGGAAGCACTTCACCATGAGGACATGGTCAGTTGTCAGTGACAGTTGGAAGGAAAACCCCGAATCCAACAGGCCAAGGAGAAAGGAGGGGGTTGCTGACATTAAAGCCTGGTACTGGGTGAGGGCTGTAATTACTGGAGAATTTTCCCCAGCCCTGCATCCAGCACTAGGGACCCTGACATCACTGCAAAGCCTGACTAACTAGGAAAAGTCACAGGCAGCCCACATGACAGCCTGTGGAAGAGGCTTGAAAGAGGATCTCAACAGCCTTTGCGAAACAGATACTCAGCATGCCTCATGATATAGGCAAGAAAAAAAAAACTTCACAAGTGGTAGAGGAGTGTTTCAAACAGATTAGAGGATTTAGTAACATGCAGCAAACAGAGATGATACGTTTATAGTTTCTGCTCAGGCGCAAGGCGCAGATGTTCTTCCTCTGCAGCATGATGTCATCTGTGATAACAGACCACTCTCTGATTGACAGTCTTTCTGTTCCTCTCTCTCTCTCTTTCGCCGTTGGTGTCACTAATTTCAACCCACAGCTTTACACTTAAGATAGTGTGACATCTTAGCTTGTTGC